ATGTGTGGCAATGACTGAACAGAATGAACAGCTTCCTGTGGGATTTCTGACAGCCTTACCATTAACTAAACCTTCCTAGGCACGAAGTGCATGCCTGTAGCAAGGGTCAGAGGTAAACATTTCCCATAACCACGTCACAATTTCTACATACATTCTTTCAGGAGGCAAAAGGCACTGGATGATGTCCACTGCTTCCTCCCAGCACATCTAGACATTTTGCAAACGCAGTGGCATACGCTTGCTGCTGAAATACAAGTCCACTTCTACAAACTTGTTTATGGATCTTGGAGTCCTACTGTCCTCAGCAAGGACACAGGTCCACTAAAAAAAATTATTCTTCTCCCCACTTTCATCTCAATTTAGCATTAGCTTGTAAATGGGGAATATACTTTTAATTTGATTACTTCTTGCATGTTACAGTTCTACTATCATATGTTTTTGTACTGGCTTTGGCTGGGACAGAGTTCATTTTCCTCAGAGCAGCTGGTATGAGGCTGCGTTTTGGATTTGTGCTGGAAACAGTGCAGATAATTCAGGGATGTTTTCCTTACTGATGAGGAGCGTTCATACAGAGTTGAGGCCTTTTCTACTTCTCACTCCACCAGTGAGAGAGTTGGGGGTGCACAAACTGGGAGCTGGGAAGGGACACATCTGGGACAGCTGATCCCATCTGACTCATGGGATATCCCAGACCATATGGTGTCATGCTCAGCATATAAAGCTAGGGGAAGAAGAAGGAAGAAGAAGGAATGGGGTGACATTAGGAGTGATGGCATTTGTCTTCCCAAATCACTGTTATGCATGATGGAGTCCTGCTTTCCTAGGCATGGCTGAGCACGCTTAGCTTTGCTTTTGAGTGTGGCTTTTGCTTTACCTATTAATCTCAACCCATGAGTTTTCCTCACTTTCACCCTTCAGATTCTCTCCCCATCCTGCTGGAAGAGAGCAAGAAACTGTGTGGGGCTGAGGTCCCTTCTGGGGTTAAACATAACAGTTTTCTACAGTAAAGGGAATTTAAAAGCAACATTACTGTGTTTGAAATGGGTGAACAAGGATGTAAATAGAAATGGGCAGGAGATAGGAGTAAGAACATTGGTTTAGACCTGAAAAGGCATTTCTGCATGTAATTTTCACTGAAGTCAGCACAAGCACATTTCCTCTTCTGTGCAAAGGAGCGGGGTTGTTAAATCCAAGTATATTCTGACAAAGTCCCCACTGATCACAGTACTAAAAATTATGCCATCCAGAAAAATCTTCTTAAATCAAGTATGAGGATGTAAGGGCCTGTTCAAGAACCAAGCTACAGTATAATAAGCAATTTACATTTCATTATAACCTATTTAATTTACCTATCTACTGACTCCATGCTTACATGCCTTCCAATTCATTTTTCTATTGCTGATAGATCACCTAATTTCACACTGGCCTCTCTTGCTAGCAGAGGCTCCTTTCTGAAGCATAGCACTTTTAATCCTCCCGATAACCCCTCTGTTGCCATTCCCTCCTAATGCAAAATACTTGACAAAATAAAAATATTCATAGGAATTTCTGCAAACAGGTAAGCAAATGTTAAAATACAGAAACCTTTGTTGATGCCTTTGTTCACAGGGTAGGATTCAAAATTTACTGAAATTTATGACTTTTTCCATTGGCTACTTATTTTTGCTTCAGAAGCATGAATGTAAGAATACACATATATTTAAATTCCAGACTTCATGATACCAATTGGAGCGGGTTTTTACTGATTTACCAACTCTTTTGGATCATTTCCAGGGTCCACTGATATGAGTGGAATGAGACCATGTGTACGATGTCAACAGCAGCTCTAAGAAATCTTTACCTCCAAAACATTTCTCCTAATATATATTTAATTCATTCAACAGTTGGCATAATTTTCACAAGCCAGTCAGCTATTCATTTCCAGAGTATTACAGCTGCTTGGGTAATAGCATACTAACAGCTGTCTACAAATGGCAAAATATAAAAATCTCAAAGAACACATAAAGAACAACTACACATGCAATTAATATATATATGCTTAGATAAGTCTGCTGATAGAAAAATATTTGCAGCGGGAAAGAAAAATCATCTATTAGGAGAGCAGCAAGCTGTACTGGAAAAAATGCAGACATTAACTACTCTTGCTTGAGGAGCTTTTACTGACTCAGTTAATGGCTTTCTCCCCACACATGCTGACCACAACTCTACCTGCAAAAGACTGTCGATAAGCCTGGCCTCACTGTGTAACTGGCATAGCATTGCTTCCACTCACAAGGTGAGAATTTGAGATTTACAGCCATAGCTGTAGAGTAAAATGTTGTTAGAGGTAGAAGATGAGATCACAGCCTGTTAAAATGGATACACTAAAAGTGAGAGGATATTTCATCCTTATGCAAGAAAATGTATGGTCTGTAATTTAGGTAGGAGCTCCAGATTCAAATGTGTGTATGGGAACTATGTGTCCAAGATGGAATGGAGCTCTGGGGCCCATTCATTTAACAAGACTAGCACCCTTTCAGATCCCTGTGAGGCACATTCAGCTCTCAGCTGTCCTGATCAAAGAACAGTGTCTCACAAATCTTCAGTCCCGCTGGCCAACCCAGTATTGCCATATTGCATGCCCTAAGTACACCTGAAATGGCATAAAGTACCTAACTGTAGGCAGGGGAAATCCACTCCCTGTTGACACACTCAATGACATTTCAGGTACAACTCTTATTAAACGCAGGTGTCTACTTCACTGAGTGAAGTGAACAGCTCTCCAGGATCCACTGATGCCACCAACTGGAAGAGGAAGGAGTAAATGCATCCTACATCACCTACAGGCAGATTCCTAAAGTAGGTGAATTGTTCTGAAGTTCAATCCTACATGCAGACTTTGATTCAGCTGTCCATATAGAGGCATGAAATGCCATTTGAGAAGATATACCACTAAGGCTGATAAATATTACTCTGGATCCACCTTTCTGAGCAGCAACTGGAGGCCATGTAAATTACCCTAAGGCATCTAAAATTGCTCCATGCTCTTTTCTTTGTGTGATAAAATGAACCAAGCATTTTTAACAGCATCACAAGAATTCTCCAATAATTAATACTTTAAAAATAATATGTTTTGTTATTAATATTGTATTGCTTATGGAAGCTTCAAGAAGTTGTTAAATTCACTCACAACTTAGAATATTGTCCCTTTGTTACATCAAGACAGTTAAGTAGGATCAGTTTATTTCCATCAGTCTTTTTAAACAACCTTTCATTTTGTGGTGCCCTCGTCTAACAATGGACCTTTTTGCCCAAAACCTAGTCTTATACAGTAAGTCTTTTACATGTCTCAGTTTCTACTTAAGATACACATGGCTGCTGTGTAGCTAAATGTCAGAGTTAGGTTTCTCCATTGCAAAGAAACAAACAAACAAAAATTAAATGTCATTCTAGGTTTTTTTTTTCATAAAAACACTCCTTTAAAAAAATCTCTAGCACAATTTGCCCTTTAAATTGTTATATTTAGTATCAATACGTTTCTTTTAGAAGTTATTATTATTGCTGCAAAACTTTTCTCCTTGAAAATGTAAATACTATGTATACTATGTGTATACTCCTTGCAAGCAATCTCCCAGTAATTATACTGTCCCTTTCAATGAAAGGTAAAATAATCTCGAAATTTTAATGACAGATCTGTGTGAGTTAAATAAATGTTACATCATTATGAAGAAAGCTAAACTGAAATATGAACACTGATAGTGATATTTTATTGAAAATTGGAAACTTAAATCCCCATGTGGTATCTGCACAAATAGTCAGGGGGTTTGTATCTGCTACTTCCTAAAGCCTGTGGGAGCCACAGGCTGTGTAATACATTTGACCGCTCAGGTAGCACCTTAGGTCATGGACCAGAATCCCCTGTATATACCTTCATGGTTAAGTACATAAAAATACTGAGTAGAAAAACAGCTCTGAGCCTAAACAATAAATAGAAATTATGTGCACAAAGTCTGGAGGGTTGAAATTAATGCTAAGGTTTCTGAGTGAAGTTATAAAGGATTGTCAAAGAAAGAATCAAAGGAAATAAGGCAAAAGAATGAAGAAGAAGTACACTTTTCAGCTCCCTATCTAGAACTAACTACAAAACAAGATCAAGTTGGTTTAGCTAACTATAAGGTACAGAAGTTCAACTGAGTTCTGCCTGCAGAGAGTGATAAATTAGGGACATCGGTTTGACATGTTTGAAGTAATTAGTGATTATATAATAAGAAATTTGCTCTAACATTATAGTCATGTTCAGGCTGAGCTTACCACCTAGAGCTCCAAGAATATCCTGATTCCTCATAATCTCAAATCTTAAATGGCAGCAAGTTTGATCCCTAATAGACTGGCTGCTTTCCCTTCCTTTTAAAAGCTATGAAAAATGTCATCACTGAATTTCTCTTATTTTTGTTAAGTTTATGAAAAATTTGGCCTTGTATTTATTTAGTCAAATATTTGTATCCCATTAGTTTTCAATAATGTTTGTATTCACTTATTGTTTTAAAAAAAACCCATTTTCATTACCAAATGAATAAAAGTACTTTGTTTTTATGGCACTTGTTTCTTAAATTCTTCAGTTCTATGCCCTGATGTTTGAGAACCAAGAATGTGTTTGACACCTCTGAAAATCAGGGGGATTCTGAGATATATTATAAAGTCTGTCTCAAAGCAATTTGTCCAGAATTATTCAATAAAGCAATAGGAGATTTACAGTTACTGTCATGCATGGTTTTCCCCCTAAAATTTGCTGTGTATTATAAATTCAAATTCAGATCTCTATCTGCAGGGGCTTGCACAAAAAACCCAGTGTGTCTGGATTTCCAGTTACCTACCAATACATGTAAGCAGACTATTTTTCACAGTAATAATGAAATTTAAAAGGGACAGAGAAATGCCATGACAAAAAGCTGTGTTTCACATCTTGCTAATCTGATTTAAACAATAAGCATAGGTGAAAAATATAAGTCACAGTTACTCACCTGCGATGAGTAAGAAAACTACCACTGACATGTCCCGAGCCATCACATCCTGGTGTTGGACATGACATTCCTTCCGTCTTCACTGACTTCCAAGAGAACTGTGAGCCATTTAGGTACCCATCCTTTTGCCTTTTGGCAGCTAGAGGACACCCTGACGCACTGCGATGGGACGCGTATTTTCCAGTTATATGACCCTGACCATCACAACCAGGAACTGGACATCTGGATAGCAAAGAGACGAGATAAACTTTATTGTCTTGCCATTGTGTACCTGGTAGCCTCTACAACAAAGTGAAAATAAACCCGACATGAAAAGAATAATCCTCCACTGTAATTGCAAAATTAGTCAAGATACCCTGTAGTAGTTAAAATTACAAGCAGAACTTTACCAATTTGAAATAAAAAATGTTCTTTGATAAATTCTAAGAAGGCTAGCCAGTAGATGCAGTCATAGCTGTTGGTATTATGCAACTGCAAAAAAAGGACTGAGATATATATTTGAATTACACTAAATATCACAGTGGAATTGAAATGTTGGATACCAAACTCTGCTCAGTAGAGAAATTGCCCAAAAAACCCTTTAAAATCCTACTTAGAATCATCCTTGGTACATTTTATTCATACGTATGGAACCCATACATATGGTTTTCCAATCAAGGGAGACTTGTCTGAAGTCATGAAAATGTCAGGTATACACAGTTATTTATGAAGTGATCAGAGCACCTCATCAGAAATGCTGAGCACCTTTAATCACTCTCTGAATAGGAGTGATTATATCAAACTATGTGCTACAGCCTAGAGAGATCAATGAAGGTGGTTCTGTATTCATTTGATGGTTTTCCTTACTTGGGAATCCCCCATACATTTGCTCTGTATACTGCTAAAAAACAAATAACCAGGGTTAGAAGGGACAGGTTAGAATCTTCAAAGTGAAACGTTAAAAGAAAATTATGAGGTTTTTTTTCAGTATGTTGCTACTTAACTCGTCTAAACAAGGCAGTTACTTCACTCCTTGTCCTACGCTAAAATACTGCTGCAACTCTCCACTGAGGGTCCAGTCCTGCATGGGATAAGCAGTCACTAAATCCACCAAGTTCAGTGGGCACTGATATCAGAGCACCTTGCAAGAAGAAACTAAGACCTACAGGTAGGCATTTGTTTCTCTTGCAAACTGCATAAACAGTGAGATCCGTTGCAGCAGTCTCATATAGAAAATTGTCTGTTCCCACAACTACTTTATTTAGCACGTATGGTTTGTCTCTAGTATGCAAACATGTTTAAGAGGCTTTTAGGAGATAAAGATCTAAGTAATATTTTATTTTCATGTGATAATGAAGAAGATTGTATCCCTGGCTAATACGGTATCCTTTGCTGAATATATCAGCACAGATCCCACATTTGCTCATAGAAATCTATGTGGTGATCTGCTCTTGGATGACTATCACACAACAACATTTTTGCCTTAATAAAAACCTGAAGATGTATATGGCCTTATGAAACACAACAAGACCCTTTGGCAGTATTTGTTCTCACCTAATTGGCTCTTGGTCTTCTTTGTCTTCCTTGCTTTGTGCTATCCTGATTCCACTTTTCTTTGCTCGTGGACAGCCTGAAAGACTGTGTGAAAGAAAACATTTTAGAATGCAATTTCTCATTCATGGGTGCACTTTACCAGGAATACACTTTCTGAGAAACTGGCAAAATATGCAATTCTGTCCAGTTTTCCAAAATCAAAGCTCAAGTGGGTTGAACACGGAGAGCTGCAGCAGCCACCACAAGGGGGAATCTGTGCATCTGGGTTTGTGATGCTGGACAGGACTGCCTCACTGTGCACCACACACACAGGCAGTCCCTGAGGAGCCGGGGAAAGCAGCTTTTAAACTCTCTGCCTAACAATCCTTCCAGCTGACTCAGCAGTGGCATCTTTAAGAGAAATAGAAGCCAGTGTTTCAGGGCTGTGGGACATGATGTCCTCTATGGCTGAGAGTGATGGAAGAATAAAAAAAAAACAGGAATATCTCTTTGCAGGACTAAAGATTTCTCTTGAAAACACATTGGAAACACTATCAAAGTTCTCAAACATCACATAACAATCCTATAGAATGGTTGAATAAAAACATGGCAGAGCTCAGAGCTTTCAGTGTTTTCCCAAAAAGGTTTTCCAGTGCTCAGAATCACACAGACAAAAAAGATCTGATACATGTTATTTGGTATAAGTTATATGTTAGGCTAATCAATCTTACATTTAACAAGACACTGCGAATGTACTTTTTAACTTCACAAGCTCAGCTTTCCTTTGCATATGAAGAACTCCTTATAGAAACCATTTAGTAGACTTGACAATGACTTTAACAGATATTTTAAGATTTTTTTTAACTAGCCAATATCTGAGGATACAAATATGTCTACAAACAATAAAATCATGCTTTGTCCACTACTGAAATGTTATTTCCATCGTAACTAGCAACATTAAAAAAAGAAATCCATTAGTAGAACACCTTCAAAGTTGACATGAGAGACCAAGAAGTGTCATCAAAGAAAAATTTCCATGGAGAAAGAAACAAAATAGAAGATTAAATTTTTTGTTTTAGCATCACAAAAGGTACTTCAGTGTTGCGAAGCAGGTCCTGTTTTCAAGAACAAGAGACAGAAACAGTGGTAGCAAATTTTTCAGTTATTTTGTCTTGTCAAAACCAGTGAGGACTGAGAAGAAGAAGCAGAGAAAAAGGTGATGCAATTGCAAACAGAATTCAGTGTTAGTAAGTGGAAAATAGAGAAAACCAGAGTTTAATGCTTCAAAGTCATAAATAAGTCAATTGAAGAAAGGGAGGAATGCTGGCACAAGATATTGGACATAGTGTATTACCTAGAAACTTTTAGTGAGATGGCATAGTTACTACATCTATAATGGTAAACAGAAGGGACCTAGAATTGTTGCTTTGACCCAAGACCAGCAAGCTCACCTTTGTACAGCTAAGCTCTCTATCTCTGTAAAGCAGGACAGCTACATCCATATTGCTTGTAGAGAATGATCTGGACCCACGTTGAGCCCCAAATCATATCTCAGAATTGCCTGGGAGAGTTTCAGTGGCACAGGGTCAATACTGTGCCAGGGGTCCTGTCAGCAATTTAATACTGTAGGCATCTGTGCTCTGATGAATGGACCCATGCTCACATCCCATTTCACTTCTAGTTTAGATGTAGCCAACCATGTCCCTTTTTAAAGCAAACTTCTCTTTATTCCAGCTTGCACAGTGGGCACCAAAGTATCATAGTTCCCTCCGTACAAACTAAACCTCAGAAAGTCTGTGCCAATTAAGAACAGTTTTCTTCAAAAATAATAGTATTATCTGTAAGAAGACAGAGGCAGGAGGAAGAGAGTCTGAGAGATTCAGAATAAGAGAAAGTCAGCTCTGGGGCAAGGGAACAGTTCAGAGACAGGTTGGTTCACTGCCCCTCATACAACCTGGACTGCAGAGTGAAGGGACAGGAGTTAAAGATACCCCTAGTTTATCTCTGAGACTAGTTGTACCTACTATGTGAGAACAATCAGGATTTGCATCTGAAAACTAAACGGTTAATAGAAATTCCTCAGAAAGCAATACTTACAGATGGGTATGCTTGTGTATGATGACATTTCCATAAAAAATCTGAACAAAGCATTTCTGCCTTGACTAATGATTTAAAGCTTTCTACGTGTTACATCAATTTAATTATCACCTACTTATTGGTATTTTGGTGCATCATCTCTCTGTAATAGATCTTTCTACTCTGGCACTATGATTTATTAGAAAATTCTAAGACCTTTCAGGTCCTCTAAACAGACATTTCCAATAGACAGCTTCTGAGGCTATGATTAATTAATTTTTCGTCTGACAGTGGATTCACTAAGAAAACATATGTCTAGGATCAGCCTTTGCTTTAACTTTTTTATCCTATAATAACCAAAAGCTATTACAAGGTAAGCATATTACTTCATTTTTCTATCAGTTTAATTCCTCATATATGAAGATAAAAGACAACAAGGGAAATTCAACACCAGCACATGCTGATACACCTTCTGGCATAGATTGAATGGGTGCAGAGTTAGGGCAGAGTTAAATCTGCCTCCATGTGTGCTTGCTGTTGAGCAGCCATTTTAAATACAGCTGATACCCAGGCATCTCAGCAGCCATTTAGAAGAGAAGTCTGTCATTCTTTCCCTTCTGAAACTGAGAGGGTTGTAACTGATTGTATCAAATACAAACAAAATACTAATTCAGATGTAAGCAGAGCTAAATGCTAATTCTCAGTGTGGCAGTTAGAAAGCTCATCTGAGAACGTGCTATGGGGTCCTTCCTAATCAGCAGGTCCAGATTTAGGCCACTCGTTTATGCCCTCGTTTATTGCCAGCCTCACCACCTCAGAAATGACCTTGACAAATATCATGACCTGAACAGTGTAAGGCTGGGTCTGTGCAAATGCGACACTGAGGTCTCCCGAGGACACTGATGGTTTTAAGCAAAGAAGACATTACGTCTCCAGTGTCAATGCTCCTGTGCCCGCAGGCAGCTGAAGACCTGGGGCTGCCAGAGGCCTTTTTGGAAGAGAAATTAAGAGTTATGTGGTCAATATAGATTTGGTGGCATTTCAAAAGGTTGAATGTGTTAAATCCCAATTGACTGGAAAAATTCCAGATCCTTTGGTTTTGCAGAATTACTTTTTATATCTTTATGTATACCTGAGTATACTGTAGAATCAAATAAAAACCTCATCTGCAAAAATGCAAGACTGTAAGGATTTACAGACAGAAGTAGGTAACACCACTCAGGTCAGAATCTGGTCCTACAGTGGCCAGGAGACCACTTTTTAAACCATTTCCTTGACCACCATGCTCAAGGAAGGGGTTTAAAAAATGTCGACATTCAGTGATTCTCCCCTGTCAACCTTGACAGCTTTTAGGTTTCTTGTTAGTAACGCTTTTCATTTGCATCTTCACTCTCCTGTCTGTTTCTCGTTTAAGAGATAATCAAACACATAAACAAAAACTTCCTGAAACAGCAAAGTTGGGGCAGAGCTGCACCAAGCATAATGCTGGAAGAGTGTGAGCTGATAAATCCACATGTAGTTAAATGTAGTTCTAAATGTGACCTTAAATCCCTTTGAAAATGTGATTTAATTTCCTATATCATGTCAGTGCTTTTAAAATGCTTATATCTTCCCTTTTATAATATTATTTGTATTTTTGGAGTTTAACACTGCATTACTGAAATTGATATTGTGATCTTTCATTTTTACAGCAGGTAAAGGTATGGCACATTCCCAATCTCTGTTATTTATGTTTTGACTTTGAACTGTCCGTTGCTTTTACTGGGAATACATTTAAACTGGGACTTTGTATACTGACTAGTTATAGTCAATTTTAAACTACAGGGACTTGGTGAAGCAAGCAAATATCCAGACTTAACAGTAATAGTCTGCATGGAAGTAAAGAGCCTTTAATGACAAAAGAGAGGTGGAATACACTATTATTCTTTGATTAAACAGTAGATAGATATTTACAAGATACAGTGCAGCTCTTCTCTACTGATTTACACTTCTCAGATAGCCAAAGGCGAATTGCTAATTACACACCATTTGTACCATTACCTCTACAGTGGTATCGCCATAAATGATCAATACCCTAATTAGTAAATGGGAAGCTTTCTTTGGCCCTCAGTAAGGATCACAGTTACAGTTCAGGTAGTTAAGGTAACAGCTTTCATCCATAAATTTCTCTTTCCATTCTTCTGTCTTGGCAATGTGTTGCAATTTAAGAACAAGCCAAGCTTTATGCTGAAATGTACTAACAAGATGAAAGAGATACTTTTCCCCTCTGATTAAAACTGGTAAGACTTCATTCAGTTGGGAGAAGAGATAAAGAAGAGGGTCAAATTTTGCATTTCAAGGAATATGGAGGAACTGTGGAAGAGACCGACAGGAACAATCATGAAATATAATTTGTGGGGAAAAGATGCAGGAATAGGATTTGAATCCAGACTGTGAAGAGAAGAGTTAAGTCATTCAGAATGTAAAGCAACAGAAACTTAAGAATGCTGAATTTCTTCCTTGGGCTAACAGAGATGGTAGAAGAACTGAATTTATTTTGTATGAAGATTTTGCTCGATACTAGCAAAAATCTTCCTACCTAGTTGAGTTGTGAGCCATGCGGAAGCTGAGAAATATTATCCATTGGTGATGAATTATACCAATGCATGTCTAAGTGCAGCACTCAATCCTACCTCAGTATTCAGAGAGGGAAGTGAGGTCAGTTGAGGTCCCTTCTAGCCCTTCAGTTACTTGGTTTAAATAACAAAACCTTCTCTTTACATACCTTCGATGTGAAGCATAATTTCCAGTAATATGCCCAGAGCCATCACACCCAGGGGTGGGACACCTACAATAATAATGGAAGAGATACAGTTACTGACAGGAAAGATACAACTGACCATTATAAAATATCCATTGGCTCAGTCCTTGTTTCCTCAGGTGCCAGCCCTGGGAACCTCTAACCATTGCTAAACCTGAGCTTAATTCCACACGAGGGACAAACACATTTTTTCATTCACAAAATGTTTTGTTTGCTACTCTTCAGCTGCCTACTTAAATGCTTTCTGGATATCTCAAGTACTGGCAGATCAGTGGAGATTTCCAGCAGCAGCCCACCATCCCTACACCACCAGGAATGAGTAGGGTTGACAGCAAATGGAATACCCCCATGGTGTATCCTTAGGTAATGGTTAACATTGCAGTGAGTCATTTTGTTTTCCACTGGAGCTATTGCTCTAATCTCCTTGCACAGTGTCATGGGGTAACGCCATGGAGAGAACCCTTCGCTCCCCATGAAGTGAAGGAAATGCCTAAGAAAATGGAAATATATAGACAAATGCTGGCCTCTTGCAGAGAAATGGTAACCCTCTCAAACACCAACCAGACAGAGAAGTCACTGAGGGTACAGCCTTCAGTGGAATTTCTTAAAGTAGAATGACATTAGAGTAATCAAAGAAAATGGATATTTTTTTCTACATTGCAAAGATGATTGCAATCATCACAGAAAAAGCTACATTATAATGCTAAGTAAAATCATTAGCTGATATTTGAGCTGCTACACTAAATCACAGAAAAGACAAAAAAAGAATAATTTATATTCATTTTACTGAACAGACAAATGCTACAAGAATTCCAAAAAGTCACTTTTCTTGAGCCTGAGTTTTGAATTTTAGCCGTGTTTTTTAAAGCTTCATTTGAAGAAATCATTCAAATTCAGAAAAGCTTGCACACAAATTCAGATGTTGCATTCTGAAACATCAGATTTCCATTACATTGAATTTTTCCACTATTTGAATCCAGAGTTCATTCAGACTTTGGCTTTCACCTTTCAGTTACATGTATGCTTTTGTATGCTTTCCTCAAAGTTGGTCCATACTGGTAAACTTTCATTTCACAAAGGTTTCTGAAGAGACTTGAACATTTCTTAAAATCAGGAATTAAGTAATCCAGAATTCAGTGCAGTGGGGTTGTCACATTCCATTAAGCTGAATTTTAGCTCTTTTAAACTAGTAAACATTATGTACTTTGAGGAGCTTAGCAGGGCCAAACTTCAAACATGATTTATGCTGCCTTGAAAGACATAAATTTAAATGGAATGTATTAAATGGAATTCTCATATGATCTTCATCTGGATCAGTTCAGTTATTCTACAGAGAACATTAAAATATGGTAGCAATTCCAGGATGTGAGCTGGTAAAACTTCTGGGGTTCACTATATCACTGAAGTTTCCCTTCTATATAACAGTCTGTGCACTTTGGACAAGTCTAAACAGCATCCTTAATGACAATTCTCCTGCTCTTGTTTTCTGTCTTTGCACACGACCAAATATATGACCATGATCTTCAATAGAAGGTGTATTACTGTGGTTCTTAATATCTTGAAGACCAACATAGAGGTTGATATCACACATCAATCTGTCTGCTTATAGAAAGATAAGCCTCATAATTTCTGCAAAGATTCTTCTGATACAAATTAGGTAAAAATATGACCCTTGATAAAGGAGTCATAGCTCAGTCCATATGGCTTTCACACTTTATTCTTTGCTGTGGTTGCACATGGCTAGCATAAATTTTGGCTATTCCTTTAAATTAAACATTAATGGTCAGGGCATCTTACACGGAAGGTCTTATAATTTAAATACTCAGTCTCTAAATACATAGATGTTCTCATTGTTTATTTTCATTTTTAGGCAAATGTTTTGAGATCTATGGAGAAACAATCTCTTGTTTCATTTGTTCTTTTGATGCTAGGTAGCTTCAATGGTCTGCCTGTTTCCTAGTTCCATCAAGGCTAGCTGCGTCTCTGAAGAGCCTGACTGAAACTTCTAAGATGTTGAATCAAAAGATATAGGAATAAAAATTAATTAAAGGACTTGACTGAACTTTGGCTCTAAACGTCCATGGCATTTAAATGAATAAAGGAGAATCAGGAGCCATGGGACTGTTCCTCTGCAGTCTGTCTGGGGTACTACAAGGAGTCCTTCTTTATGAAACCATAACCTGAAGTGACCATTTTCCTCTCCAGACTTTTCCACCTTTCTGAGAATAAGCTATTAGCAAAACTGAACAATATTTTTTCTCATCTTTTCCAAGATATCTGTTACAGGCAGCATAATTAATAGTGTCTTAACAAACAGGATTTATAAGATGCACAGTATGTCCCCTCAACAAGTCTTAAAATAAGACCACTACACTTCAAGCATTTGGAAAGTCTTACACAATTTAAAAACTAGCTTATTTCTATGTCATTTAAAAATTAAGCAACTGAAGTAAAGAAGAAATTATCCAGCTGTAAGTTTAATTAGGTGTCTTCACAAAGTGCTCTGCACAGTCCACATCAGTTTAAAATCATACTGTTGATTAAAGCAGAAGAGATCTTTATGTAGGCAAGAATTTCAGAAAGACCTTTCAGATTTTGATTTTGACACTGTAATATTTGTTTTCAAATCTCATAAGCTTGTCTTTACCTAAATGTAACAGATGAAATGACAGTTTAATGCAGTGGTAAGAACATTTTAAAACTCTGTTACATTTATATTTCTTGCTGTTTCCATTCTATGAGAAGTGCTTCTAACACTGTGAAACTTAGGATGCAGATATGCAGCAGTCTGTTTCAACTATGAAGTTATTACAGTACTTATTTGCTATCCTAAGCAGAATAGATAAGGAGACAAGCACAAGTCCTTGTGTTATTGGAATTGGGAATCTGTACTTTCAGAACGTCTGACTTTATGTAGGACTTGCATATACCTTATTACTTTACTATCAACTACCACATAAACATATTTGACTCATATCTACCTGCAACAATGCCAGAAAGATGTATGTATGGGCGCTTGTAAGAGGCAGGTGATGTGAAACCCTTTGAAAATGAGCATCAGAGTATGTGGAAAAAGAGATATACAGTTTTTCTCACTCACTCAAAGTAAATGTTATTTGGCAGGATCAGAAACTTATCTGTAGATTCTACATAATAGCTTATTGCAGCAAAGAAGGAAATACTTAGTACTATAACAAGGGAGGTGACAAAAGAAACTGACCCTGTGAAGAGTGAAGTTCAGGACACAAAACACTAACAACTTGACCACAAGTTCAGGGCATCCACTAAAAGAAAGACCTTGTCAGTGAAGGGGAATGCAGTTAGCACTACCTTGATGTCCCATTCATTTCACAGACCACCCCAGAGAAGTATTTTTGGGAACATAAGCATAAGCAGAAAGCAGGACAGGTAGCAGAACAGCAACAGCTGTCGCAGCTGGGTTCAGTATTGGGCTTAGATTCAACAGCAGGAGTGCAAAAAAGGTGAAATTCAAACTGAGAAAAATACACTTAAGCCCTACTACTGATTCTTCAACACGGAAAAGACTGAAGGTGTGCATCAATTAAAACAGACTTCTGGCAGCTTGAAGAACTCAGGGAGGTTCTTGGGACTAGGGAGGAAATGAATGCAATGCCCAAATGGGCTCTGGGAGGATTTTTTCAAATGCCAGTGGTTAAAAGCCTTGTTGAAACCTCAGCTCACAAAACCCTCCAGCTCTCATCAGCATGGTGCACTACGAATATGGCCCATATTTAAACCTATATTCCTAGGCTTTTATCTAGGTCTACAGGAGTGAGATAAGCTTACATATAGCTTACATATTTAGATTTATAGCTCAACTAGCATAAGAGCAGATAGGATTTTACACAAAGGTGGAAAGACAGAACTGTGGTAGTTTTGTCCTTATTATCGTGTATGACTATGGTTAACTTACTTTTGCAAATTATTTTAACACATAAATTACCTCTAAAATATACCAATAAATCAAAGATATAGAAAGTGCTTTGACATTTTATTTTTGTGCTGAGGATATCTGCTCCCACAGAAAAGAATGAAACCATTAATTTCTCTCACACTGGCCAATTTTAATGAGTTCCTAAAAAATACTTCTCATGACCTGTCATTAGTAAGATGGTGTATCAGCACTAAAGACTAATGTTACCTTTATTGTTTAGTTTACAATACTTAGTACCTACTACTGCTTCCAGTCTTTCCTTGAGAAATAAGTGAACACACGTATCAATAATATAGTCTACCAGAGAGAATATTCTATCAATTACTAATTAAATATTTAAAAGATGTAGATAGCAACCCAATAGAAAAATCTTATTGAATTGAATAGGGCAATAAACCAGGACATTATGCAAAAATTCAGAATGGTTCTTCAGAATATTCCAGATGCAAAAGAACTGGGATTTAATAGAAAATTATCTTTCCCATAGTTTTATTTTGACCATTCTGTCCATGGTGCTGTCCACACCTCTCTGTAGTAGAGGTGTGATTTTCTGTTGAGGGATCAGAAAGGCTAGAGAAATATAATTGTTTCCTCTGGGATTTTTTTCATAGCAGAATGTAGAATTTTTTATTGTCTGGTGATTTCCATCTACTTGAGATTCTGTTTTATTTGACTGAATCACCAGGAATGGAATTCATAGGTTGGGAGGCTGGAAGATAGACACAATAATACTTGCATTTCTATCCTCCATCTGAAGATCTAAGTGTATTTTACAAACACTAAGGGATAAAATCTCACAAAACTCCTTTTAAAATGGAAGAATTTGGCAGAGGAAAATTTGGGCATAAAGAGGCTAAATGACTTTACACAAAAGAAGAAAACAGCCTAGAAGTACAGATTCTTATTCACTGCTCTGTTTGCAGCTATAAAGCCATATGTCTTCTGATACTACACGTACATTCATAAACCAAATATTGTGTTGGTTTTTTTTTTATCTAGTGAGGTAGTTCTGAAACAAAAGGTTACAGAAGTAAAAATGTAAAGATATTGCAGTTCCCTGAATTGAATATGT